AAAAGAAAAACAAAAAAAAAGTAGACTTGCCAAGGGCTTCTGAACTACTAATGCCTAGCCACAAGCAAAGAACTAGGAAGCCTCAAACAGAACACAGAACAAGATACAAGGGAAGTTAGCAAGGCTTTCTCATTATAATTTTGCTCCTATATATGCTTTTGATAAATAAAAAATTTATCTGGAAAATGAGATGGACTGTCACATGTAATTGTTGACAAATGGCTCAATTACCCATACAAAATTACTTACAGAGTTCATTTAGAAAATGCCACTGTCTCAGGCAGAACAAATGATGCACACAGCATCCATTTTCCTGGTGCAACAAGGCGAACCTTGCGCATCTCTACCTCAAAAGCCACCTCAGATAGTGCAATCCTGATTTGCTGTTCAAGTATGAAGAAGAAAAATTCAGCATTCCCTCAGTAATACCTGGCCCAGAAAAGTTCAGTCAGATGAAAAGTAATAGCGAACAGGCTAACAACAGACCTCATGAAAGTCAAATTCAGGATCCTGAGCTTTTGAAAACCCATAAACATGGATCCTTGGCAAGGTAAATTGCCTACCCTTGTTCCTCTTTCCGAAAATTCCTCTAAATGAATCTGCAAACATGAGAAAAGCATTTATGTATTGGCTATATGTCTAGATAAATGGGATGGAAGGTCTGGTTTTTTTGGGGGGCACCGCATCTCCTTCATTGAGCTGGAAAAAGAATGTAATGCAGCATATTGCCTTCTGAGAGAAATCTCGAAGTGCTGTCATGCCGCATCATACATATCAAATGGGAGTAAACGAACTCATAAAGGCAACAATATTAGTGACGAGAAATGCTATTGACATTGTTGCTCAGTAGAAATACTCAAAAAAGAATTATCCATCGGATAATCCATAGAATCATCGTGTCTTGCAATTGTGAAATGTCATAGTAGATCTACTCCAACACTAAATTGGAAACTCTTTCCCCATCAAACTATTGCCTAACAAGCATGTTAGTACACATTTATGGACAAAACTAAGGGAAAAGGATACAAAAGGATGCAATATAATTGTATCAATAAATTCAAGAAAATCCCAAGCCTCTCTCGTGTTCTGCATAAGCTTTTTCGATGCCCCCAGAAGCTTGGTTATCAATTATTTTCAAAACGCAAGCTTCACATGCTTCATTATTGCAACAATTACTGTCAATACTCGGAATTCTACGGTCCAACTACACCGTCACATGCAAGTTAGCATCGACAAAAAGTAGCAAATTCTTCTTTCAATGAAAAGCTTTCTGAAGTCATAGGTCCAACCAAGAGAAACGGATAACTGAGACCAACAATGCTGCTGAAGCTCTAACCACAGAGTAATAGGAGACATCAAACCTTCAAAAAATCCACTAGCAGGATACTTCCTCAGTAAATGAAGAGAAACAGAGGATATTTTACATGCTAAAAAGCAACTTAAATGAGAAGAAAGGAAAAGAGACTGCTGGATTACATCATTCCTGGAGGTCAGGAACTGAGCCACCAGGAGCCTATCCAAGTGCTCAATCAACAAGAAGTGCAGTTGAAATATCAAAGTCATATTCTCAATCTGACAACTATGGAACTGGACCCAGGATATTTGCATTTATAGTAAGAATAAATTAAATAAACTTGAAGCAGAGGGCACATTTTCTCAACTAAATCACACCACATCCTTGGTGCTCCCAATTGAAAATTTAATGGATAAAACTAACACCAACTACTATCAAACTTTAAGGTTGAGTACATTACAGAAAGACAGCATACCAAGAAACTCTGCAGCATCATTTGGCAAATTCATTACTACTTGAGTAATTGCCCGAGTTTTTTCACTCACAAAAATACTGTCAATGAACCTCCTCCCATCCATGTTAAAAATCTACAAGATAAACGAAATCACTAAGCTGTGACACCATATATCACTGGATAAATGAATTCAAGAAACCAAAAGTTGAATCTAAATCATGAAGACACCTGCAAGATCAACACCGTAAATAAGTGAACTCGTCTTGGAGAAGAACCTTTTCAGTTCCAATGATTATTTGGTTTTTGGTGATAGCATTGCCTCATAAATAATAAGTTCAAGTGTAACAGTAAGAAGACCTAAAGATACTCCATCATAACCAAAGAAGTAGCATGAGCAAAGAAACCCACTTTTAATTTATTTTCCTCGTTTATTTGTCAATCAAGACCACCAAAAAAAGTCAGATGACTGAGTGCGTACGCCAGATCTGAAATTCTTCCATAAATTAGGTTTTATTTTTTGAAATGGAAAAATATATTCTTTTAAATAAAAAAAGTTCAAAAAAAAAAAAATAGAATTTCGTGCTATATATATATATACAGATCCTATGCGTCTGACAGAAGTTAGTGACATACAACAGAAAAATATAACTTGTATGTGGATGAATTTGTACCTCAATCTTCCTCTCGAGTTTGTTACGGACAGAGTTTCTTTCTAGATATTCAACAGCAGAAGGGTTCAAATCATTAGCGTATACATATTTGACCTTCTTTGCAGCGGATATTGCAATGGGACCAATCCCAGCAAAAACATCACCTGACATTTTAACAATTGGCAAAAGAGAGATCGCCAGAACATAAAACAAGTTAGAAGAGGCACCACATAGAGACTAATTCAGATAATAAGCAAACCGCAAACTTATCAATGTGGAGCAGACCACTTCGTTGCCGTTTGTTTGGGTACTATTTAACTAGTGTCAGTTTCTTTGACTAAATCGACGACAATGTGCTCAATTTCAAAGGCGCATATCCATTCTACCATACTTTTGATATTATAGAATTTGACGAGAACATTTTATGATCTCTTTTCATTTCATAGTTCCAAGGTGCCAACTACTAATAAATACTAGAATCGTGGCCATCGATGTGTGTGCATATAATTCAAATCATTTCTAATTGTTCTGTCGCATACATATCGCTAAAATTCAAGAAAAAATTCAAGTAGACTGATTCTTTTAGGACTTTTAATTGAAAACTACCGACACCATCATGGACTAAACAGTGCGAGAGTGTAGTGGAAAGGTCACGAAAAAAATTCAAAATAAACAAATCTAAGTGCAATTGTAGAGAAACCACCAAGTCTGGAACTCAAATACGCATGTAAGAGTGCTCAAGAGAACTTACAGACAACGTCATCATGGGTGAAGCAACTAAGAAGCCTCTGTCTTTCAGTTGCCAGCCTAGAATTCCAATATCTACCAGAAAATGACAAAATTTATAGGAAAATATCAGATTCTGGAAACAATAAATTTTCATCTTAACTTATTCTTATTCGCTTAGACTCACACTGTTGCTAAATCAACATCAAAATAGAGTCCATTCTCGACTACAGTGGTTACGAGGGAATGGTTTCCTGCCAAAACTTCTAGCTGCATTGTTCTATAGTCATTGTGAATGGCATCAATTTTATTGGCAACTGTTTGTATCTTCGGCTTGTTCTTGTCCAAAACTACCTGGTAAAAGATAATCCAAAGAAATGAAGGGGGATAGCGGCCAATGGATTATTGAGAAATAAGGTGAAATTTAGTAAAACCAAAAAAAAATGTGGTAGATTTGCAGAAATCAGGTACCTTTGCGATAAGTTTCTTGTGCGGGAGATGTTCATCTCTCAAGTTTAGATGGGCAATATGCCCAACAGTCTCAAAAGCTGAAGGAACAATCATGCCTTGTGGAAGCAAGACCTCTAAGACCTGCAAGGTGCACATTCCTCGTTTAAGTAAGATGTAACAGCAACTTGTGCAAATTCATGACAGTTTCACTCATATTAAAGACTTCCCACACACCAAAAAAAATAGGAACAAAACAAATGCATCAGGGCCTTCAATCCCACCCAATTATACATGAAGGCTCTGGTTATGATATTTTCAAGTTTGGTAAATTACGAGACACTCGTTGATACCCATGAACCTCACATAACCCGCACAAGAGATGCTATACACTTGATTGGCTAAAATGGCTAAACTGTGTACAAAAATATCTGTCCTTTTTTTTAATATTATATCCATCATAGAAAAGTAATATTAATAGCAAAAAATATGGCAGATGGTCAAGAATATCATAGGGACATACCTCATTCATTTGCCAATAATTGTAAAATAATGTCAACTTGCATCTCACAATTTCAAAACTTAATCTTGTACTTTCCTCATTGTGTTCTTTGAGGACTGCCTGCAAACATAGTTCAAATTCGTAAGAGAGGAGCTATTAACCTACATAAATATGCAAAAAGTTGAATCTAAGCTTTTAACTACTACTTTGAATCAGTAAAACAAGCATTCTATAAACACCACATCCCCCTTGGCCACTATCAAACGACTTCTCCGAAAGATTTAAATACATGTTGGCGCATCTCGTCAAAAATAAGATTGAGATGAATTATCCTGAAAACAAATGCTCTTCAATGATTTGTTCAGACAAGTAATTAGTAGACTTCTCGATAAAAACTACATGATACTCATACCCTCCAACTATCTAATTCTATTCACTACTATGGAGGAAAGAGTGTATCAATGATGACAAAAGGGAGAAAGTATATTAATGTACAATACGGTCTTGATATGTATTATGTCACCAATAGACCAACTATGTTTTAAGTCCCAATCGTTCCATTCTTGTCTCTTAGACAAAAGCTCAAAACAAACAACATAACATACTTCACCATTTGCAACCATGAACAGAATAGGTGCCTGACAACAAACTACATTAGGCAAGATGTTTTTTCAAAAAATCAGCCTGCCACTCTACTCCTCTACCTAAATAAGAGACTTGGTTTACCAGCTAGGGTACGAACTCATGAGTTGTGGTGTGTATACAACACATACCCCGCAGCACTACTTTATTTGTTGAACCAAAAGCTCTAAGGCCTCAACATACATAAAGGGAACAATTTAATTCAAGGTAAAATTTAGCAAAAACACTCCATGTTTCAATTCCAAGTACCAAGAAGACATCACTCATGAAACTCAAAACATATGCATCTCATAAAATACCATAGTGCTAAACAAAAAACGGAAACCTTAATGGCCTCAGGCAATTCCTCTATCCCCTTGTTTGCGTACCTCTCATCCAATAGCAATAACCTCGTCGATCCACTCCATTTTCTTCTTCTAATAAAATCATCTCCCAATAACCCACTCAAATCCTCATCTCCACTCCCCTCCTCTTCAACCACCTCCACCAATGCCATCTCATTTCTCCCTAACCCTTTCCGCTGTCTTCCACTTCCCTCCTCTTCCTCTCTCTTCTTCTTACTCTTCTTCGGCCTAGATAACTTAGCCAAATTCTGAAACTTCACATATCCTGTCGAATTGAAAGTTCTGGCAAGTTTATCTCTGTACAACACCGAACACATTTTCTCTCCATCTCCTTCAGCTTTTCCATAAATTCTTCGCTCCAATGCGGTTAGGGTTTCAGCATCATTATTGTTTCCGATAAATTCCTTTAATTCGTCATCAATATCGTCACCGGGAACCCTAGCAATGTTACGAATGCGCGGCCAATTTAAGAGGTGGCCTCGTAATTTGCTTTCAAGGGAGAAGCAGTGTTCTGAAGGGACACGTAAAGCGGTTATATCGAAGACTCGAGTGAAATTCTCTTCGTCGAAGTTATCAGTGTTTTGGTGTTTTTTGTGGCCTTTGTAGAGTGAAGGGCCATAAGAATGGTGTTGAAATAGTGTTGACGACGACGTTGTGGCAGCGGCGGTGGTGGTGGAGAAGAGAGAAGGAATGAGCGGTTTGGGGGAAAAGCGGCAAGTGAAGTGGAGAGAAGAAGTTGAGGAAATAATGAGTTTGTTGAGTATAATGGCGGATGGCAATGGGTAGAGAGCCATCAATTGAATTTGCCGTGGTAACACATACATACAGTGTGGTGTGGGAAAGGGCTGTGTATCTTTTAAGAGTTGTGATAATGGAGAAAGATACAGTTTGGTCGCCGGAAATGAAGAGTACGAGACCTTTTCTTGAGAGCAAAGAGCTTTTGCATAACAAATGTGAATTATTATTTCCAAAAATATTTTCAAACATATTTTCTAATCTTCCAAAAATTTCACAAACTGGTTTCTGATCACTGTAGAAAGTACTTAAGTTAATAATTACATAACGGAATAATAAAATCAAAAGACAGTACTATATTTGTTTTGTCACAAGGCAATTTAGTTCATTTTGTTTTCCGAGAAACTAGTTTCTTAAACGCACCCGTATTCCAAGTTATTTTTATAAAAGTTAGATAAAATATAATAAATTTAAATTACATACATATTGCTCAAACAATATTGTTGATATACTATTAGAAATCATACATATTAAAAGTTATAGCTCATTTGAGTGAGAATATATGATATTTAAGTGACCATATCTCAAATTCAAAATAATTGAATAACATTCTCTATCCGAAAAGATGAACCATTACATTAACTTAGTTTATTATTTATAATCACATTATTTTAGTTTATTATTGACAAGGTAGGTTGCTCTGATGGTAAGCACCATCCACTTCCAACCGGGTTATTTGCTGAGGGTCATTTGGAAAAAGGCTCTCTACCTTAGGGTAAGGTCTTTATACTGGGTGGTTGTTGTTGTACATTATTTTAGTTTATGAGGTAAAAATATGTCATTTGGTCGCAACTACCTAACATTTCCTCATATACAATGTGTATATTCAATTACATTGTTTTAGTTGGTTTTTTCATTATTGTGTATTCATTTATTATTCTCTGTTCCTTATAATGATCGTCTTAGTTGATCTTTTACGAGTGTAGTTGAGAGGAAAAGTTGGTTATAAGATTATGTTATTATCTCGGAAGCAAGAAAACTAAAGCAAAATATAAATTCTATAAATTAGTCATCAGCGAACCAAAAATACACTTTTAAAAGTATAATATTGCAAGAAGTTACACCTTGTGCATGATGATATGATGACGATGATAATTACATATTTGAAACTTACGGTCCCAAAATATGTGTTTTAAATTTCAAACTATGTATTTCAAGTCTGAAGTTGAAATTTAATATGCCATATTTTAAAACAGCCAAATGGTATGTTTATTCTACTAAATATAGATATATTTTGTTATACTGGATTAAGTATACATAATTTTGAAATCTTGGAGGATTATTAGAACATTGCGGACCATTTTAATAAAGGTAAGCACTTTAAAAACAATTTTGATATGTTCCTCTGATTTGTTCATTTATATCAAGGATATATTATCATGCAATAAAAATTAATATAGAAATTGTAATTGTAATACCATGAATAATAGTATACGAATTATTATGCGAGTAAAAATATAAGGATTATATATAGTGTTTGCCTCTTTAGATACCTGGTTTGTTATTGTTGTTGTTAATTGCCTCTTTAGATAATCATTGATATACATAATATTATTCACAATTTATAATACATGTAGTAATGTTGATGAAAAGAATATACTAATATATAAAATTTGCATATGGATATTAATAGTTAAGGTTTAAATATTTGCACCAAAAACCAAAAATATTATTTTCTGTCTCAATTTATGTGTCATAAGTTCATAATGAAGACAGATCTAGGATTTAAATCTTATGGGTTCAATTTTTAAAATTTTTAGCATTAACCCCATTATATTTTTAAAGTTATGAGTTTTTATCTATTATTTTTGTGATTTTAATGAATTTCTAGATATAATTTTTTTACTCCGCGTCAAAAGTTATGAGTTCAATTGAACCTATAGATAATGCGCTACATCTACCCCTGCATTCATTAGTCTATTCCAAAAAATAATTATGATTTCTTTATAGAAATAATTTAAGGTTAAACTTATTTTAAACTATAAGTTTGAAAAGTTTTACTTTTAGGGTGTGTTTCCATTTTTCTCATGTTTGGTTAGCTTAAATGTTTGGAAAAATATTTTTCTCATGATCTCATTTTCCAACAATTTTTCTCTATCAAAAAAGGGAAAATATTTTCCAAAACTCCTTCTTAACCATCCCCACCCTATTTTCTCACATTTGGTTGGCTTAAATGTTTGGGAAAATATTGTTCTCATTAACTCATTTTCCTCCAATTTTTCTATATCAAAGAAGAAAAAATATTTTCCAAAACTACTTCTCAACCATCCCCACCTTATTTCTCATCCCACCAATCTGCTCCCAC